AATGCTCTGTGATTGTGTTTGACTTAGTTTAGCTTTCTGCAAAATTTTCTCTGACTACTTCTGAATTTCTTGCAAAATCTGTCTACAATCTGTTTGATAAAAGGCCAAATGAAAATTTGATTCAAAATAGGTGAATCTCTTGTAGTCTATGCGCGTAAGGGGAGGAATTCCGGCCAGTCTAAAACTGGCCGGAGCCCGTGAGTTCGAGGGTGAAAGAGGTCAAGAGATTTTGGAGTTGATTATTCTGTTTTATTTTATTTCATTTTTATTTTACTTTTGCTGTTTTTTCTGCATTTTGTGAGGGTTTCGCATGTGTGGGAGAGAGAGGGCGAGGCTCCGGCAAGTCTAATGCTCGCCGGAGATGATGATTTCTAGTTTATGGTTAAATTTCCATTGAAGAAGCAAGAATGCAGCATCCTCTGACCGTTTGGAGAAGATGATTATTTCTTCAGAATTGCATCATTAGTCCCTTGGCTTTCCCTTTTGTTGTAATTAATTCCCCAAATTCTAGTACTTTCTAATTTGACCCCATAGTTTACTTTTTTTGTTTTCAATTAAGTCCTTAGTAGTTGTTTAGTTAGCTTTTATATTGATTAGCTTTCCAATTGTCAATTGAGTTGAAGTTAATCTCCATTTTCCATTTTAGAACTGGTGTAACCCATTATGGGGCTTAGGTGCATTTAATTCTTGCAATTTTCTTTTCCCTTTATTTTATTTATTTTCTTTTATTACTTTTTATTGTTGTGGAATGTGATCGAGTGGGCCGCGAGTATGTTGTTCCACGGATTTGCCAATGGAAGTCTTCAAACTAATCATTTTGTTTCACTCTTATGTGTTATGCATGCTTCTATGTGTTTAGATATTTTTATACTTATTAATAGCATGTCATGTGTTTAGCAATAGATTTAACTCATTTTGGTCTTAAAATTAGAAGAATAAAAATTAAACTCGCAATCAGTTTTGTTGAGTGTAGGGAGTGCACAAGGGTAAAACCTTGACCTTCCCTCCTAACAAATGTAGCTCACAAATTCATTTCTCTGATTTCAAAAGACTTGGAGTTGTCTAGTTAAAGGGTTTAATTTGTAATTTTTTAAAAACCAAAATTTTACATTTTTATAGGTGACTCGGAACAACCTAAATTGAATATCAAGTGCAACTTCAAATTTTTTAAAAAACCTTTTTTCCTAAACTTTAATGTGTCTAAATCCATCGCCTTTACCTAGTTTCATTTCAGGCCCTCTTTTTATTTTCCTTATTTTAATTTTGAAAAACCCAAAAATTATTTTTAAAAAATTCCCAAATTTTTATCTTTTTATTTTGAAAAAAAAAGGGCACGACAAGTGGCCATCATGCAAGATCAATATTCTATTTAGTTTTTTGTTTCTTTTTTTCCCCAAAAATTTGAGGAAATATTCTATTTTGCCATTTTTCTTTTGTGTGTACGCGTCTCTTTCTTGGCTCAAATGAAATGTCGTCGTTTAGGAGAAGTGCCTAAAATCTTATTTATGTCAAGTTTTAAGGAGGAATTGAGCTAGTCCGACGGGCATCGTAGATCATCATGGCTAGGGACAGAAAGAGCAAGGAGGAGGAGGAGATTGTTGCTAAGAGGAAAGATAAACGCAAAAGAACAAGTTGGTCTTCATCCCCGGATGCACACCATCGACAAGGAGGTCTACTTACTATCTTCTTCGCTGCTTCTTCCTCCACACAAACACGTACACTGAAAAAAAATAAAACTAAGATTTCCTTGTTAATTATTATGTGCAATTTGAACAGATGAATTGGAAAAACGCAAAAAGCACGCAAGTTCAGGAGGTGAAGAAGAAGCATCCAAGAGGAGGAGGAGGGAAAAGAAAGACAAGTCTAAAAAGTCCAAGCACCACCACAAGTCTCATCATCCTAAATCCTCAAAGCCCCGCCATTCTTCTCATGCTAAAGGTAACTCCTTTCTCTACTGCTCATGCCTTTTTTTATTTTGGCCCTTTATCCCTTTTCTATCCCCTTTCTGCAATTTAACATCATCAGTAGTTATTGTTAATTGAGGGTTCCCAAAGCACTTTAGTCAAATCTCAACTTGGTAACTGCTGCTGAATTCTTAGCCACAAAGTTTGGTCCTTTCGGTGTTTGTTTTGTGTTTATTTGGCCTGGTTACTTAAATTACCTTTTGCTGTCTTCGATACTAGAATTGATGCTAATGGTTTTTATTCTACCTTAGTACTTTTTTTTTTCTTTAAGTCAAATCTAGTTATGCAGGTTTTTCAAGGGTCTTTTCAACTGGTTGCTAATTACTGTATGGTATATGTCATATCCTGACATACACCTACTTGCCTCTGCCATCCTTATTGTTTATATTTGAATAAATAGAACCATGAAATCCTCAGTATGTACTCCGGAATATGCATATTGCTTCCCCACCCATTGGCCACACTTTATCCGTTACTGTCAGTAATTAGACTACTACTTTTTCTTTTCTTCTCGAGCAGGGTTGGAGCCAGGGTAAGGGGAGGAAAGAAGGGAGGGAGTGGGTGGTTGGGAATGGTAGACAACTTAAAACAATATTCTGACCTTGATTGCACTCTTTGCTTAATGCGCATTTCCAGTTCAAAGCTTTCGCCCTTCTTTGGGAAAATTTGTTTCTGCTTTATTCTAGGAATAGCAAACCTATACAAGAAGCAAATTCATAGGTTCAATTCCTACTGGATGCATGCCAATGGGACCTTCCAATAAATAGAACCATGAAATCCTCAGTACTCCGGAATATGCAAATTACTTCCCCACCCATTGCCCATGCTTTATCCATTACAGTCGGTAATCAGACTTGCTTCCTTTTCTCCTCTTCTTGAGCAGGGTTGGAGCCAGGGTAAGGGGAGGAAAGGAGGGAGGGGGTGGTTGGTTGGGAATGGTAGACAACTTAAAACAACATTCTGACCTTGATTTTGCTCTTTACTTCATGAGCATTTCCAGTTCAAAGCTTTCGCCCTTCTTTGGGAAAAATTTGTTTCTGCTTTATTGAACTAGCTGATATAATTGAGAGGTAAAAAGCAAACGCCCTAAATTGGTTGCCATTTTACAGGGTCTTTCAACTGGAATTTTACATGTCTGTAACTATCAATCATACTACTATTTGCTATTACTGGTTTCCTTTTTCCTTTCTAGCTTATTTTGTTAGCATTAAGAGAAACATCAGTTGGTTGAAACTTCTTCCACAGCAAAAGCTTTAGGTGATCTTATGGATTTTATTCAAGATAATTATTATTGCCAACCTGGTTTTAGCGAATAAAACTCTCCATTATTGGAGACTGAGGGTGCATGCAAATAATGGTTCCTGATAGCGTGATAGATGAATAAATTCTTAATCAGACTTTATTTCCTGTGTCTCGCCATAAGTTTGATAATTTTACTCTATTTATTTGAGGCCCTAAGAAATATTTTATCCATGAGAGACTGTTATTTGTTTCAGAGAAGAAGTCTGGTGATAAGCATGCAGATACAAGACACAAGCATGCGGTGAGTTCTTGAATCTACATTTTGAACAATGATTCATTGTTTGACATTTGGCCATTTGGAATTCCATCAGTTGGTCCATTTCAATAACAGCGATTCAGCTTGTAATTTTTACGGTTATATACTGGTGAGATACCTAGAGTTACGTACAATGCGTTGTGTTTAGTTATCACATTCTTTTCAAAGTTGGACTGCTTTTACTCCTGATATTTACAGTTTTTATACTCATTAGAGATTACTCATCTTCCCCCATTTTGTTTTCATCTTTTACCTTGTCTCAGAAATTTAAGCATCAAGAACTCTCCAGCGATGATTACTTTTCCAAGAATAACGAATTTGCTGCCTGGCTGAAGGAAGAAAAACATTTGTTTTTCTCTGATCTTTCATCAGAGTCCGCCCGAGATCTATTTTCGGAGTTTGTGGTACGATGGAACGACTCTGAGCTAGAGCCTCGTTACTATGAAGGCATTGCAGCTGGTCCTCGGACATCCCATAAGTGGAATATTAAGAAGTAGAGAAATATTACATTGTAGGATTACTTTTTCTAATTTCTCTACTGTTCCAGTGAAAACCTGAGGAAAACATCTCTCTCTCCGGGAACAGTCTCCAGAGACAGAGACGTGGCTAGTTTATATCCAAATCCATCCTTTTTTTCATTTCTAGAATTAGCAGGAGGAGCTTTTAGTCTGCATCTGATTAGCAATAGCAAATGTGAGAACTGTCGTAGTAGTGTTGTAATATGGAAAATAAACGATCCGTAAGATGTAGCATGTATCTTTAACTAGTTTCAATTTGTATTCATTTTGGAAAGGGTTGAGAGTTGCTCTCCGCTTGGAGCCCCATTATATCATACTCTGTAATTGCTGCAACTCAAGCATCTTACCAACGTTGGTGATGTTAAGTGATCATACTGAACTACAGAGGTCATTTTTGCCCAGTAGAGCCCATAAATGTACAAGTATTCACTTCGTAATCAGTTTCTGAACAATAATATGGAAACCTTTAGGCAGCATGTTTCTCCTTTGGATTGGCCTATTTTTTAAAAACAAGTTTTTCAAATAAAATATTACAGTAATATATAAATAAAAATAATTCAAAAATTATCTTATTTATGTAATATATCAAATATTTTAAAAAATATCTATAATAAAAGTGTTTTATATACGCTGCTAAGTTATCGTATCTCATTTTAGTATTAAAATGGAACAAAATTAGAATAGTTCTGTTGAAGAAGCATCTACCACAAGAATACACGTCATGAATTTAATAATTTTCTACTGAAAACGGCAACCAAAAAGGCATGCTTGGTAAGGAGCGTCAACTTTTTTCTTTTGGATGGAGTTGTAATTATTCTTTGGACTGTCTTCCATAAGCTGTGACAATGATATGAATTTAGTTTATTGACTTGTTTTTTCTTTGCAGGATTGTCTTTTGCTTATCAGCTTTTGTATCTACTAGATGCTACTGGGTTCTACTCTTTAGGATTACACATACTTGGGATTCATGTTTGTCGAGCTACAGGGCAGGAGCTGGTACTTATTCTAGGTATGTGTCATGTGGACTGATCTATTAGATCTACTGTCATCCTTCTTGTCTCTGGACTATCTTTGCTATCTATATCAGTTTACAACTTGGTAATTCATACTTATATAGGATCTTGCATGGAAATTCATGCATATTTTCAAGCCATTAATGTTTCTTACTACAAACTTTTTGTTTCTATGTGTATTTGAACTATCAAACTGACACTTGACAAGGTGCATTTTCATATAAGTCCTATATTTCTCTCCACGGAGCTGGTAGTTTGAGGAAAATATCAAATAAGAAAATTTGTATTTAAAATGGAGAAGGTGTTAATTTATTCAATCAAATAACTCTTAGACATACTTGTAGTTGTTAGTTGAATCAGTTGAGCCATCTTTAAACCTTTCTTTAGGACCTAGCAGTGCATTTATGATGGATTGGTGTCAGTTATGTTTCTACTTATTGCCGTCCATTTCTTTGAGCATGGGCACTTCTTTTGTCAAGGTAGATGGATACATCTTCAAGAATTTCTAAAATCAGGAGCCACAAACGTGAGAGACTCCGTGGCCCCCCTTGGCTGAAGGTATGTGATTCCATATTTCTTAATGGTTTTATGCTGATACTTCGGATATTGTTAATAGTCCGAGATTACATGGAGCAATTACCATGGTTATTCAAGCATTGTGCATCTAAATGCCTATCATGCTATCTATCATATTTTTGAACCTCAACAAATTTGGCTCTAAGATTCTAGTGGTTGTCATCTTTTTGAAACTATAAATTCAATGACTATTTTGAAGGTTCTATGTATAATAACTTGGCTCTTTGCATTCAGGCACTTCAAGGTGCACTTTCTAAGCAGTATGTATGCAGTTCTTGACTATGCACAAATTTGTTTAGTTGATGCAGTCTTTTTCTTTAAAGTAATTGCACTTCACCGAGATTATTTCAAATCCTGCATTAGCAAATTTTTTTGATTCTTTCTTTATCTTCATGTCATTGTCTTATCATCATTGGTTCATTTGATTTTTCTGTTGGTTTCATCTTCTTCTTTATTTATTTTAAAGTCCCCTTCGTTTGGGGACTGTTTTTCATTATATTAAAAACTCTGTTTGTTTCAGATTTGATCATGTTGAATCATGCACCTAATTAGTTGTTTTTTTCCCATTATTGTCCTGTACTCTCTCTCTCTCAAAGAAACACAGACAGCCACACAAGATACCGAATAAAATCCATGACTTTTCGTTATTGATGTGAATGTCAGATGATGGAATGGTGGTACCAATCTGCTGAGGAGAGAATGTTATTGGTGGCTTGTTAAGACTATATTTTCTTGCATGTAGGATATTCCCCTTGCAGTTGGACAATTAATGAGGGTTACATTTGATTCTTAGCTTTAGTTTTTTTGGGCGGGGATAGAAGCTGATGTGAGGTATTTGCTTTGGTTCATCCCCTACCTCAGGTCTTCATGCTTCTGCTGTGATTGTTGATCAAACAAGGTGTGCTGTCTCACAAACTAAGAGAGATCATACACTGATTTCCTCTGATGTACTTGTTCAATCTGAAGTTATTTTGGGGAAAGAAAAGATTGACGTCAGTTATGAGTCCGCTTCTTAAGTGGTGTTTGAGTTCTAACATCTGCATATTCGATGATGTCTGGCTTAATACGTTTCCTTCTATATTAGATTTCATTACCTTCACATTGGACTTTATGCATTTGATCATTAGGAACTTATCTTCTCACAGTTAGCTTGTTCAAGTAACATGTGCAATAGGCACCTATAATTTTCAAAGGGATTGGTCACTGGCTGAACCCAAAAAATGATTTGGTATTTTAGGCTGCAATTGTCTTTTGCTTCATTCAACTTGATTCTGCTTCAAGATCTATATGCAAACTCATTTTTCTTTTATTTTTTTACTTTTAGGTTCTGAAGGTGCTTTCGGCCTCTTCTGAAGCAGATTATGCTAATCTAAACTCAAAGCTGTCAAGTCCTCCATCTCTTTGTAGATCTGATATTTGATTAATTTCAGTTCTACAGGCATATTCTGGAGGCTTGAGTGTGTCCTTGACAGGGTCAGATGGCAGAGTCTTGGGTGGCAGAGTTGCAGGAATGCTTATGGCTGCTACACCTGCACAGGTACTGTTTTATTCTTCTTTCTGTTAGTGGTACGTGTGCGTAGTTCTGGCTATACTATCTGTTTGTCTCTTGCATGTGGTTGTTGGTAGCTTCGTTGCAAATGGGAAAAAGCCAAAAGGATCAACTGCTGCAGCAACCCCAAGCTTGTTGAGTTTTGGTAATCCAGTTATAGGAGGCAGTCCTCCCTCCCAGGGTGCATCCAGTGATTCATCAGATGACAATTGGTAGTCCACTTAATCGTAGCTCAGGGCCTTACAATAATGCCCAAACAATCCAGAACATTCCAATGTACACGAACATGTGCTGGCCAAACTCCACTCTCAAGATGCATCCAAATTGACATCATATTTCTTGGTTCTTGACTTGTATAGTTGATGCACCAAGGTTAGGGGTTGACTAAAATGCTAATAGGCAGATTATAGGGCTTTTTGTTTTCCTTTACGAGCGCAATCATATTGGTGTTGTGTTATAATAATATATATTTCTTCTGAAAAAGACACCAATATATATATATATATATATATATATATATATATATATATATATGTATATAAAATATTTCATTTCGTTATTTTAGAATATTTATTCTTAACAAACTACCTATCCAGTTTGGATTAGCTATTTTTGGGGGTGTTTTTAAAAAATTTTACCATAGCAGAATTTTTATAGTATATTTTAAAAAATATTTTGAAATATTTAAGAGTAGAAGAGTTTTTAAAATATATTTTGAGATATTTTTTTAAATATTAACAAAAATTTAGACTACTTTTGAAAGTATTTTTTAGAGTATTTTTTAAAAATTTTAATAGGATTTGAAAAACTCTTTAATCCGAATAGCGCTAATTGGGCATTTTTTTATTCATTCCAACGCGCATCGCGCGGTTAATGCCTCCTGGTCTATCCTGAACTCCCAAACTAAGCCTAAGGACTTTGAGAGAGAATAGAAGGGTTTGCGGCGTTTTCTGGAAAAACTGATATGCTCGGAGATTATTGTTGACGAAGAAGAAGAAAGGTCGAAGAAGGCCTGAAAGTCTAGGGCTTGTAGCGGGGAAAATTGATAGGCATGTGGATTCTTAAAGCGCCTGATAATTTTTTTCCCGAATTTGGGAAAAAATTAATTTCATGATGCTTTAATTATATATAGTTTTCAATCTGAATCTATCAATTTTTGCTGCTCGCCCCCTGATTTCTCCTTTCTCCCTCTCTCTCTCTCTCTCTCTCTCTCTCTCTCTCTCTCTCACACTCTCTCTCTCTCTCTATATATATGGGTCTCTGTTGGTAATCGGTTTTTCCATCGCTGCCCGCCGGACCTGGTGATGAGATCTTCTCTGAAGGTTCTTTTTATTTTTTTCGATAATTTTTTCCCTTCTCTTGTGGTTTAGTTATTGTCTTACTATTTATATTTGACTTTTTTGTAGTTCGATTTTTTGGTTTGTTTTGGTGGCTGCAGAGCAGCCGCAGAATAATGGGAGAGACGAAGGAGAACGATGCCTACGAGGAGGAGCTTCTCGACTATGAGGAAGATGGCGAAAAAGCCCCTGACTCCGTCATCGCTAAAGTCAACGGCGAGTCCGTTAAAAGGTCAGCTCCTTTACCTCAAATCTCAATCTTCTAGAACTACATTTGTGTAGTTTTATCCGCTATAAAATTTAATTTCGGTTTTGTAGCTGTAGATGTCTCGATTTGCCAATATCAGTTTTGAGTTTTCCATTTTTTCATTGCTTGTGTTTGGGTGTTTTGTTTTGGTCATAAGTCGCCCCCCCCCCAAAAAAACCAAAAAAAAAAAAAAAAGGAACAAAAGCAAACCCAACAACAAAAAATAAAGAAGAGCAGCAGCTCTTCTGTTCATAAGTTTCATGATTTGTAGTTTTTCGTTGCTCACATCTTTAGGTTTTTTTCTTGACTTTGTACCTGTCCTGATCTAGTAAAAAGTTATCATCCTCTTTTTTTTTTCACTTCACGGGTAAATGTAGGGAGACACGGAAGAATGGTAATTTTATTGACTCATTCTGCTCATCTTTTTTTCCCCTTGTGCAATTGAGCTTACTTGTTGGAGGGTACTGAATTCACTGAAAGACGGATCTTTTGGTTGTTGCTGCTTTCTTTTGGATGATTCAACAATCAGTATAGTTGAAGTTACTTGTTTTGACATTTTGTGAAGTATTGAATTTCTCTAGGATAACAAAATGAAGTGCTATTAAGTTTCAGATTTTGTGGTCCTTGTCTTTGAGATGGCCTTTATAGGAAGCAGCGGAAGTGTGAGTGATATGTTTTGACATATTGCAAAGTATCTAATTTGCTTGGACCATGAAATGGAATATTTATCTTTGGTTCTTTATTCTGGATAAAGCTTGACCTTCATCACATTTTAGTTATATAGGAATCCTTAGAACCCATTTTGTTTGCTGTGTGTTCTGCCGTTTCTGTTGTAATTATGAAGTTTGTGTGTTTATGATCATTATCTAAGATTGGTGACGGTATGTTTGCAATCATTTGCAAAAAGTGTTGGATTTGTAGACCATGCCTGGCGTTGCATTTATATTGGAGCTACATGTTTATGTAGCTCTCTCCAAGCTTTTGCATGTTTTGCACATGCAAAAACCTGTGTCTTACTAAGTTGTTAAATTTCTTACTGCAGAGGCTACGTTCGTACTTGGTATCGACAGCTCCGGATTCCAAGACTTGCTACTGAAGCCACAGCTTCTGCGTGCTATTGTGGATTCTGGGTTTGAGCAATCCTTCCGAAGGCAAGTTACAACCATCTCTTTGGGTGTTTGGAATCTTCTACATCATCATAATGCAGAGATTCGTCGTCCCTATGGTTGAACTAATTTCAATGGAAAATAATTTAAAGCCCAATCCAATAACCAAAGGGGCTTATCAACAGGAGTGGTTTCTATTGAGTGGTAACTATTTAGCCTAGTAACAACTACAAGATAAAGGTTACAACCCAAGAGCCTCAATAGCTAGCGAATCCCATGTATTGATTAATATGTTGGGTTATGAGTTTGACATAATTCAATATGATCCAATCTAAAGTTAGGCGGGTTAGATATAATTCATGTAAGTGAAAATCTAATATTAACCTGTCCAATTGCTAGGTATAATCTTTCCCTTTCTTTTTAACTTTTTTTTTTGGGTGGATTTAGCTGGATTTTTATTTTCCCCTTTCTCCCACTCTCTTTTAAAACCTAAAAAGGACATAAAAATGAAAAATGAAGAAAACTTTTGGGCCTAGTCTAATATGGAGGACAGAGATAAGCCTATTAAGTGGCCCACTATCCTACTAGTCCATCAAAAAGCAACTTCATGCCCAAAATTCCAAGCAGCCCACCTCTAAGAGCAAATAAATTTAAATCCAAATGGTGAATTAGCAAAGCCCTAAATATGTATATTGCCGTTTTAAGCCATTGTTAAGACTTTGAGAGAGAATAGGAGAGTTTGCAGCGTTTTCTGGAAAAACTGATATGGTCGGTGATTATTCTTGACGGAGAAGGAAGGTTGAAGAAGGCCTGAAAGTCTAGGGCTTGTAGCGGGGAAAATTGATAGGCATGTGGATTCCTAAAGCGCTTGATGATTTTTTTCCAGAATTTGGAAAATATTAATATAATGATGCTTTAAATATATATAGTTTTCAATCTGAATCTATCAATTTTTGCTGCTCGCCCCCTGATCTCTCTCTCTCTCTGTATATATGGGTCTCTATTGGTAATCAGTTTTTCCATCGCTGCCCACCGGATTTGGTGATGAGATCTTTGAGGGTTCTTTTTCATTTTTTTGGATATTTTTTTTCCTTTTCTTGTGGTTTGGTTATTATTCTCTTATTATTTATATTTTGACTTTTTTGTGGTTAGATTTTTAAATCTTAATTTTGGGTGCTCTTTTTTTTTCTTTTTTTAAGTAAAAATTTTGTGCTTTTTTGTAGGGGTTCTATAATGCGGTTTTACTTTTTAGGTAATATTCGTTGGGATTTTATTTTTTTATTTTTGGAATTTTTACGAATTATTGAAGTTTTACATTTTTTATGAGAAAATTAGACAAAAAAATAAATGCTAAAACAATAAATCATGATGTCGTTAAGAGTAGTGTATTCTCAAGGCGTCTAGTCATCTTTCATTCTTATACATGACGTGTAACGTGCGTTTTAATGGAATAGAAATTTAAAAATCAGATTTGTATATAAGTGCTTTTGGAAAGTCATTTTCCCTAAAAAATTTTATACATTTTTAGTTATCTTTTTACTTCACAAATATCGAATGGTTATGGTACATTTTTTTTTTGGATTAATCTTTCCTATATTGATAGTGTATACACTATCAGCGTTAGATTAATGACAATTATGTAAAATTTAAATTTAAAATTCAACTTTTACACATGTCATGAATCCAACGATAATAGTGTATACACGGTTAGTGTATATAAAATTTACTTTTTTTTTTTTATAAAAAATTTAGAAAATAACAATCCAAATGATAAGTTTTCAATTTTGAAATATTGGTTTGGATCAATCAAATTATAGAGATTTACAATTTTCTTTTTATAAGATTACTTGGAACCTTCAATTGTAAGATAAATATAATTCTCATGGGAAAGGCACACCCATCATCGCTGGCATGCATGCACAAATACGCACATGATATAACGACATTTTTTTTGTAATAAAAAATTAAAGTTTTTTTTAAAGGAAGTTTTTGAAAAGTTATAATGATATAAACTCATAATACAAACAAATCACTAGTGGTTAGAATTATTAACCATACAGTATAATTGTGAACACCTCTCTAACTCAACATGATCGTTGGTCATGTGGCAACTGGAGATTGGCTGTTGGTGATGTGGCATTTGGTAGTGCCTGTTATATTGTTTGAGGGTATTTCTTTCCCCTGGTAAATTAAACGGTGTCGTATTCCTGTTCCTTCTCTATCTTTCAAAATGTAACAACATAGCAACATAAATTGATTTCAAGAGCTCTTGAAGACTATGTTTTCAGAATCGGACCGGGTATCGACTCCGTCAAATTCAGGGATCAATGGATTCAACCGAGTTCGATAGGAGTTGAACCAGATGACGTCATAAATAAAATTTATTTAAAAATTAAAATATTATATGTAAAATATCTAATAATATGTTTATATTAATAAAGGTATATTCATATATATTTGATGTTTTAAATATATTTAACAAGAAAATACAAAGAAATTAGAACAATCAAGTAACAATTTATATTATTTAATGAGCATTAATAAGTTTAGAATTAAAATTATGGACTTAATTGAAAAACAATACCAAACTTTAAGAAAATATTGATAAAGTATGAAATATTTGAGGTATATTAATAATTTTTAACAATTTAGGGGTCAAAGCATAATATTGAAAAAGTTTGAGTTTTTGCTTTTGAAAAAACTGTTTGAACCGGAAAATCCGATTTTTTTGTGTCAAATCCGGTTTTTGACTGGATTTTTACTTACCCGATTTTGAAGCATGACTCGGACCGGACACTTGGCCGGTTCTCGGTTCGATCGGTCGAATCGATCGATCTGGTCCGAGTCTGAAAACACAGCTTGAAGACCGGTTCCTATTACTTTTGTCCTGTAAAATTATAATTTAATAGAATTATAATCACAAATGGTTAGAATTATAATTTAATAGTACTACAATAACCACACATCCAATGAGAGAAGAAACTTACGTTAGTGAGGCTTAAACCTAAAAGTTAAGAGTCTGGATCCTCAACCGTAATTGTCAAATTATAGCCCGAATCTAATAATTATCTGTATCGGTTGTTTTGTCTGGTTACACATTGCAAGTTCACCAAAAGCCATTCTTCATGCTTATATACGTAGGAAGGTATTGCAACTAATTCATACGCTTGCTATTATCGAGTGAACAATGATGGGTAGCATCACTCACTTGGTATGCGAAAATATTCGTAATGGAAAGCCTCTTCGCCTAGATTACATTTTTCATCCAGAATGGTGGGAAAAATTTTTGCTCCGTTTAATTAGCCGTTTTTTAGGATATTTTTGAAAAATTTTACTATAGCAAGTGTATATGAAAAATTTTTACTATAAAAATTTTTAAAAATATTTGATATATTATATGAATGAGATATTTTTTGAGTTGCTGTGTATTACTGTATCATTGTATTTGAAAAACTTGTTTTTTGAAAAATTGACCAATCCAAACGGATTATTCCCGAATGTGGTTGATAAGTCAATATATAAGTGTTTACTCGGTTTTCAATATTTTGTATAATCAAAATATAAGTGTGAGAATGGAATATATTAAATACAAATCTGACTTAATTGCCTTGGATTAGTTTATAGGACATAATATGTTATATTACATATTTTTAATTCATTCTGTAATAGTATTTGTTTGTTTACTTTAAATTTTGATAGTTTTAATTCGAACATAAATGAGGATTGGTACTGAAATTCTTTAATTGTAATACTTGATTCATTTTAATATATAGGTTTTTAAGTTAAAATTTGAATTTAACAGCAATATAATTAGTAATGTAAAATATAAATTACATGAAGTCAAATAATTATCATTTATTTTTAACCTATTTTCAATTTTGATAAGATTCAAAAGAAATTCTTGCACAATAGTTCAAAAGTCAAAGAATAAAGTATCTTAAAACATTTGTTTCCTGGTATAAAAGAAAATAATTATTTTAAATACAAAGAAAATTGAATATTATGAAAAATTATATTCAAATATTAATTGAGCTTATAAATAGTCTTAAGATATCATGATGAAGTGTAAAAATTTATAAGAACAAATTTGGCATCCTATTATTTAGGCATTCTAGAATTAAGGTGGAAAGGACTTTCCCCAAAATTTTTTTTGAGAGATGGGATTCCAAGAAAAAGTTGGGATGAACATTTTAAGAGCAAATGATTTTTCCACTTAAATGAATCATCCCAAACGCTAGAATGGAATGAACGAGTTAAAAAGGTCTTTCCTTCTCTGAGCATTCTTATGTATCGGACGAGAGTCAATGTATGACATGTTACATGAAGCACAAAGAGCATGCAATATTTTTGCTTTCAAACAAAAAAAAAATAAAAATAGATAAAAGTGATTTGGGTTTATTTTAAGGATTAATCTTTTCTACAGTGACAGTGTATACACTATCAGCGTTGGATGAATGATAAATATGCAAAATTTGAATTTGAAATTCTACTTTTGCATACATGTCATGAATCTAACGATGATAGTGTATACACCGTCAGTGTAAGAAAGATTTACTCTTATTTTAACCCCTTAATACTATTTCTTTTTTACTTTATTTTTAAAATTGTTAGTCAATTTTAATATTGTACAATGATAATGTTAAAAAGATATTTATATCCTTAAGGATTAATTACAGTATATTTTTTTAAAGTATGTAGTGTTTTGCGCTTTATCTCGTAACATTATTTGTTTCCTTCAATTTGTTAAACTTTGCCAACATATAAATTTGGCACTGATCTTGCATGAAAGTTCAAAAAAGAATTGGATAAAAGTTCTATATGGGTAGAATTGTGATAGAACTCATATAGAATGAGGTCTCACTTTGTTTTAAAATATAAATCAACCACTTTGGTGATCCAAAATAGTTGAAAACAAAAAACATACAACAAATAACCACTATAGGCACATGCTGGAATTTGTAGAATACAATGCAATTGTTTTTAGTGAATTGGAAAGACAACTAAATTGTTTTTATTGAATTTGGTTCAACTAAACTGAAGTAATAGACTTGCCCACTTAGTAGGGAAGACAAGAAGGTGGCTTTGGGGAGGAGGAGCCCTTCCTCACCCCCGCCCTATTTTGATTTTTCAAAAATAATAGTTTAACATGAAACCACATTGCCATTGTAAAGTAGCATGAGATTTGGTGCTTTACCACATAACCTTCATAGTTAAACAAATTAAGAGAAAAAAAAGTGATATTAGGAGATAAAGCGCAAAACACTCCACACTTAAAAAATATATAATGTAATTAATTCTTAAAAATATAAATATCTTTTTAACATTGTCATTGTACAATATTATAATTGACTAATAGTTTTGGAAATAGAGTAAAAAAGAAATAGTGTAGGGGTTAAAGTAAACACAAATCACTTTATCTTTTTATTTATTTATGTATTTTTGTTTTTGTTTTTGTTTGAAAACGAAAATATTCCCCATAGTTTAACAAATTAACGGGAAAAAATGATATTAGGAGATAAAGTGCAAAACATTCTACACTATAAGAAAATATACTGTAATTAATACTTAAGGATATAAATATCTTTTTAACATTGTCATTGTACAATGTTAAGAAGGTCGTAATGGTTGTTCTAGGTCAGATTAGTTTGTATTGAAAAGGTATTTGAGTATTGAGATAATGGGAGGTGTGTGTCTGTATGAGTGATATATATATATATATATATTTTAGTGGCAAGTACTAATGCTATATATGTAATTTGGAATGTTTTGGATGATTATTTGGATTTGGTACTTATGCTTGGATGGTTGTTAAGAATTAAACTTGTTGATTTGTGCAAAGTGTGGAAGAAAATGATTAAGCATACTATATTTTGCTTTCTTAGTTTTGCACAAAATGGCAATTTAGGATTTTTGAGAGAAAATATAACTTGTTGGATCTGTATTGTTATATAATATAACAATAAAAGTAGGAGATGTATGTGTAATTTTTAAAACTTGAGGGGAGCTCTTTATAATTATTAAAAATCATAGGGGAGGTTTGTGAAATTGTCTCATCTATAAAGGATCAACAGAAATACTTACAAATATATACATGTGTATATACACACATTTATATATCACTATGTGTGCGCGGTAAATGGATTGTGATTTTGTCAAAAAAATAAAAAAGAAAAAATACGCTTTAATTTTGGTAAGCTGTCAATCCGTTAGACAACACTTGTGGTAAGTAGAACAATTATTTGTTAATAATTTGATCACAATAACGTCATATGCTTGAATCTAGATCAATTTTTAGTTATAAACAGAATTTGAATGAGGCAAACTCTACATTACGCCTTGAATACCAAGTGTGGAGCAGGAAGAAAGTTTCTTTGCATTACTAAAGAAGAAACATCAACGCATAATTTTGTTTGAATTCTATATTTTAATTCAATCAATACAATTGTATTTTGCTTACATCATAACCAGTTGCAACTATTAATGCGTAGTTCTGATGGTTATTGGTAAGGAGCAATTTATATTTGAACCACCGGTGTTATTGATTTATATTTTAATATTATCACTATCTCCTCTTGTTCTTTTTTTGATTAATAAAATAGAATAATTTTATTAATCATGAGATCAAATCTGCAACAAGTGTAGAACAAATAAAAAATGGAGGAGAGTTTCTCTATATACAAGAATCTAAAAGATTAACAGCATACTTAACAAGGTTATGAGTAGGAACATTAAACGACCTAGAAATCCATGAAACTTCCCAACATATGAAATCTTGATATAAGACAATGGTATCATCAATCAACAAATCACATGATGAATCGTCAGATTCCAAACGGTTCAACATTTTGATGACTTCTGTGAATCTCGTTCCAAAACAATCTTATTGAAACTCAAATCATGTAGTAATTGAATAGCATGTTTGGCCGCATATGACTCAACCACATTTGGTTCCAATATCCCAAGAATTTTTTTGGAAAGGTCAGCAATGAAACTTCCTTTATCATCTCGGATAATAACACCAACCCCTGATGATTTATCATCCATAAACACAGCTCCATCAAAGTTTGCCTTAACAAAACCTGCATTGGGTCGTATCCAATGACCTATTGATAACCTTGATTGAAGAGAGGTAGGCGTATTGAACTTATCTTTGGAATTTGCTTCATGGAATTGATCCAGGAATGCTATGGATAGGAAGACCAAGCTAAGAGGATCTTTGTAGGGCCTATCAAAGATCGCTCCATTCCGATTATTCCATAAATTCCAAAGAATAACATCCACCAATTCCATCTCTTTGCTTGATAGTCGCAAAAGAAGGTTGGGAAGCCAAGATGTAATCTGATCAGCAGATTACAGTCGAACTTTCTGGTTTAAGAAACTAAGCGCCCATGATTGCACAGCTGTAGGACAAGTTAAGAAGGTATGATCAATATCATCAACTGGAGCGAGACATAAAGGGCAAGAGGTATCTACATGGAGCCATTTAGTATTGAGTTTTGTGCTGGTTCGCAGCATATCTTTACATGCCTCCATAAGAAAATTTTAATTTTCTCAGGGAAAATTCAAGTGCCAAAGCCGAGACCAAACACTTTGCTCTAGAGTACTACTACTTGATGGCAAATTCTCCCAATTAGAAGATTGCTACTAGATCAAGTGATACGCACTCTTCACAGTAAAAGATCCATTTTTTGAAAAGTGCCAGATTAGCTTATCCCTATTGTGAGTGTCTTCAATTGGAATGCTTTGAATTAATTCAATCTCCTCGGGCCAAAAAATTTCCTGCAATAAGCCACAATCTCCTCTTGTTCTATTTATGACTTGCTGCACATTGTTTAATTCTCTATTCTAAAATTTTTTGAATTATACTCACCTAGAACTTTCAGCCAAAATTTTCAGAAGTTTCGTGCAAAGTTTGAGCAACTTTATATGTTACCCAAGTAAAATTTATTTGAGTGTGGCAATATATTCTATGTATAGTATTTTACAATTTTAATAGGTAACACGGGATTTGACCAGGATCCTTAATTTTTTGTTATTGATGAAAAAGAAAGAAATATACAAGAGGGAATATAGAGTCTTATGTCTTTTGAGTATATCCAAAGCAAATATATGTATGGGCATGCTATCCAGTGCAATTGCACAGAAGATTTATAGTATAATTAGACGTAAATGAGCGCATATTTGTGTATGGTACAAAACACATTACTCTTTTATTGTGAATTAGGTGTAAAGAAAATTATCATTTATGCAGTATATGAACGTAAATGATCAATACGTAACATTGGATGCTATTAAAGTTAAATAATCTATATGCTCGTTTTGTGTGTGCCATTGATGATTTTGTATCTATATTATGAAATATATACATCTCTAGGCATAGGGAAATATTTTATAATAAGGTAAAATTTTACAATAATTAAAGAAAATGATCTTGCAATTACAACATAAAATTTCCTTGAGGGATTTGCTAGTTTAGTTCTTAGTGTTACAACATGGATGCTACCTACAAGGAGCAAAAGTGTTGTAAAGTATCTAATTTGGGCCCAAAATGAAAATCCAACTTTGTGATCTCTTGATTCTCAAACTCATCTACTATTATTTCACTACCAGTACTCCTGTTATTGGACGCTATTGTTGTTTTGCCAAGTGCTAAGTTTAAATGGGACTTTGGTACATTCATACGCCAAAAAAGATCACGTGCAATGATAAGCTAGTTTCCAAATTAACAATATAAAATTTTAAGATATAATTAATAATTAATCAATTAGATAAGTGCATCATTATTTTGGCTAAGGCTGAGGATAATACCAAAGCATTTATCTTTTTCCTTTGATAAAAAGCAAATTTCATTAATAAATTATTAGAAATCGTCCAGTACAATTTGATTTACAACACTCCCTAATAACACGTTAAATATGCACAAAAAATTATAGATTTGTAGTTTAACAGATACAATAAGTTAAAAAAAATTATGAACATATATGAAAAAATATAAAAAACTTCAAAGTTGTTTTCTAACAAATAAATCGTTACAATTCTCTTTTGTACATGTTATAACCGTCAAATTTACTAATTAACATGGTTTTAAATTTCAATAATAATGATGAGATCTATTGAAATATATTCAAGATCCAAAAGAATTTCAAATCTAACAACCAAATCATAAATAAATTCATGCTTAACCCAAAAAAAAAAGAAAAAAGAAAATACTAATACTATCCTCAGTTAAATCTGAAGCATTTATGTTCTAGCCAAAAGCAAGGCTCCGTTTGGATTAGCTGTTTTTAGGATTGTTTTTAAAAAACAGCACTGTAGCATTTTGTTTATGAAATATAAGTCCGTTTGGATTAGTTGTTTTTGGAGTTGTTTTTCAAAAACTATATGAAAAACTTTTACTGTAGATTTTTTTGGATTATTTTTAGAAGTATTTTTAAAACATATTTTTGGGTATTTTTATAATTTATAATTTATAATTTTTTTTATTTTTATATACATTTATGCATTTATAATACATTTATAAATATTTATAAATAAATATATTTATATATTCGCTAAAAAATATATAAATGTATTATAAATGTATTATATTATATATAATACATAATATAAATATATTTATAAATATATAAGTGTATATTATTATAAATGTATAAATTATAAATGAATATTATATAAATGTATAAATTACAATTTATAATTTTTATATTTTTATATAAATATACATTTATGCATTTATAATACATTTCTAAATATTTATAAATAAATATATTTATATAAAAATATGTAAATGTATTATAAATGTATTATAAATGTATTATATTATATATAATACATAATATAAATATATTTATAAATGTATAAGTGTATATTATTGTAAATGTATAAATTATAAATGAATATTATATATATGTATTAATTATAATTTATAATTTTTATATAAATATACATTTATGCATTTATAATACATTTATAAATATTTATAAATAAATATATTTATGTATTTATATAAAAAATATATAAATGTATTATATTATATATAATACATAATATAAATATATTTATAAACGTATAAGTCTATATTATTATAAATGTATAAATTACAAATGAATATTATATAAATGTATAAATTATAATTTTATTAATAGATATTAATATTAAGTATAAATGTATTAATATAATTAAAATAAATGTACAAATGTATTAATATTATGTATAAATATAAAATTAATATTATGTATATTAATATAAAGTTATAAATGTATTATATTATATATAATACATAATATAAATGTATATTATAAATATACATTAATATATATTATGTATAAATGCACATTTATATAAATGTATAATATATATAATATACAATATTCATATAAATATATAAAAATATTTATAATATGTATAAATAAATATATAAATATTTAATATATAATATGCATTAATATTAATTATAAATATTATAATATTATAAATATGGTGTTTATATAGTATTTCAATTTGTAATATTTATTGTATATTTCATTATATAAATATTTATATAATATATAATATATAAATATATAATATATAATTTTTAATTTGTATAATATACATAGTATTGTATATATATAATATAATATACATAATATAATATATCATACATAATATACATTATTACATTATTACATATTATGTATATTATATATTATACATACCATTATTATACACAATAATGTACATAATAATATTATACATTAATAATGTATATATTATAATATAATGTACATAATATATTATGTATAAATATTTACACATTTATGTATACAATATTACATATTATATATATTATATTATATTATGTATAATATACAATATTATGTATAATATTAATTTATATAATATATTTATATAATATATAATATATATATAATTTTCAATCTGTATATTTCAATTTATATTAATATAATATAATATATATAATATACATAATTGAAATATACAAATTGAAATATACATATGTAGTTGTTTTTGATATAATATTTGGATATGGTGTTTTTGGAGTTGTTTTGGAAATACACATTTACTGTAGCATTTGGAATGTGAAAAACAGTTTTTCAAAAACAGCCCCAAAAACAAGGGATCCAAACACACCCCAAGTTTTACAAACTACTAATACTATCCTCAGCGAGTTAAAAACTTATATGGGAACTACTATAATTTTCAGTCATCTCTCACGGCTTCGAAGCATCCGATTACCGAATGCATCTTACTATCCAAATGAACGTTAAATCTTGTCCAGTTTTCTCGGACAAAAAAATTTTTTTTTTCTCTTTTCTCACCAATTTGAACCATGTTTCCCAACACAAAACGAGTTAGTAATTGCAGTAGATATTTGGTTTCGAGTCCAACTGTTGTGGTGACGAGATCCCAGTTGGATAATTGAAGCATTACTCAAGAAAATAGTGGATAATTTGGGAAAATAGAATCCAACTCAATTTTCATGAACAAAACTGCATGAATCAAACTACAAAGACTGAGAATTGATGGAAAAGGGTAGAAAACGGTTACAGATTGAAGAAACCTTCCTGAGAAAGATAAAAAGAGAGAGAAAGCTCAACAGTGCAATTCTTCACCAAATTCAGCCAACACAAAACTTGATACAAAATTCATAATGGAAAAGAAATGTTCTTAACATGCTGAAATAGCTTTTAGTAATTAACGAACTAAACGTTGGACACTTGGATTGAAAACTCAAGTGGTCTGTTAAGTTGCAATACAGAAAGCGTGGTTCTCCTTCTACAACTTTTTGGAGCCTCCAATTTCCAAGTCCACGCCTTCCTGCTGCTGAGTCCACGCCTTCAACCCAAAGCAACAGAAAATGAACTAATCAATCAAGCTAACAACTTGCAACTCCATGACGCCAACTGTGTATCTATCCATGCTTTTAATTTAGGTTTGAATTCCATCTTGCTTTCTAGAAGAAGGGGACGATGAGGTAGGTAATGACGATGGGGAAGGGGTTAGGATGGAACGAGATAGCTAGTGTGGAAATGAGGGATTTCAAAAGAAACGGTCCAAGGCAGAAGGGGTGAGAAAAGAAATGAAGTTTGCTGGGTCAAATTGTTTCTTTTTTTTATAACCAATTTCAACAATGTCTTTTAATAGAAAACTAGTAATTGGTGTAGATATTTGGCTCCGATGAAACTGTCTACAAAACAGGTTTTGTCATCCATGAATTGGTCTTGAATTCTGTCACATCTTCTAGGATAAGGGGACCGTATAGTAGGTAGTAGAGGTGTGCATTGAAA